ATTATTTCTATCTTCAAAACTGTGAACAATTTAAGCAGTTCACATACACGTGACTCATGTTACAAACAACTGTATATTGTGTACTATGTGTAGACGATTTGTCTTTACATTTTGTAAAAAACATTTGGCTCCATTTTGTAGGATTCAAATGAGGAATTCGATAAAGAAATGGTATTTCATACAAATCTTTTATTCAATGTATTTGATTAATGATGATAGTTTTCTGTCGAATCTAATTATCTATAACACGTGCTGTTGGCATAAATTAATTCCTAAATTCATGCGTTAATTAGATAGTCAACGTTTTATGGGCTTTTTTACAATTTAAGAAAAGTTGTACATTGTACAATTATATTTTATTATTTCAAAGAAAATATTTTTTCAGTAGTTGAGATCATGAGTCAGTTGAAGCTAAACCATCATGGAAAACCTGAATGCAGTGGACGGCCGTTTCGTTCTATTGTGGGACTCCTCAGCAGTGTCAATTATTCAATGTGGAATGATTTCGAACGTCATTATAACGGAGTAAAACTGCATTACCATGTAACTGTGTGATTACAATAGACAATTCAAATGAATGATGTGATACATAAACGAAAAACTTTGCAAAATATGGATAAATTCATTATATTTTAATGTTTTTAAACATCTGCAAACGGCTTAAAGCTATAAACGGAAATTTTGTTATTTCATAAATCCTGTTCATTGATTATGAGTTTGAAGACAGATGAATATATATATGAAACAGGAAAAAGCACAAAGTAGTAGTGGTGTACTAACGCAAATGAGGATAATCAAATGTTCGTGAATAAAAAATTACAGAATCTTTTGCTGAAATCTGAGAACCATACAATAATTTCTTCGTTTGCAAAATGTCAATCACTTGTCTCAAATTTTATTGTTCATTGGTTTCCACACCAATCATTCTTTGTTTTCATTCTTTCTTCTTTGATCGTCTTAACTTTCTGCATCCAGGCATCTCACTTTTGATTGTCGATGTAAATTATTTATATCTGTCGACATCAGTAACACACACCAAGACGTATTTAAAATGAAATCATATAAAGTAGGGAAGGTTTTCTTAGAAACTGATTAACCGGTGAAATAAAATTCATTTTAACAAATGGATGATTGCATAATAAAGGCATCTAGTTAAAACTAATGAAATATGCAAGAATTTTAAAAGGAATTAAAAAAAGACAGAGTATTTAAATAAAAAATCTTATTTAACAGTAGTAATGGGAGGCAACATTGTATTTTCATGTACAAATGTCAGATACAAAGCGCTTAATGTTAAGGGTCACTGTAAATATTAGCATAAGTGCCTTTGACTACTTATGAATTATTTTGAAAATTTCCTTTTAACATATAGGGAAGTAAATTGAATTGCCAAACGAAACTTTATGGGTTGTTCTACTCTAGTAATTGGGTAAAAAATAATCAAATCATTTTTTATGAAAAGGGAAAGAGATGCAGTAGATTATTATTTAATAACTTTCAATCACCTTTATAACTGCATATCATCAGAGTTTAGTTTCATTTATCACAAGGCCAAAATTATAGATAATATACAAATTGTGATATTTCAAATCTAACTATGTATAATTTATGTTGAAACCTAAACATTTACTGAAGACAGAACAATCAAATAGCCATTAGAATGTGCTATAGATAGTTCTAAAACTCACTTCTATCGTTTTATAGCTACCGTTACCAAAATAGTTATTTGTTATCATGGCATTTTCCATTTTATTTATTTATTTCTTTTACTTTGTTATCAAATGGTTTATTATGAAAAATATTATTGGAAATAAAAGATTTAAAACAGTTGAACAGTAGGTGTCGAAGTATTTTTTGTCTCCATACCTCATTCACTTTTAATAGTCTCATCTAATCTACGAGACAAAAACTAAAGAAATCCTCCAACCTTAAGATATGCATGATCAGCACAAACTAATCACCAATTACTTTTTACTTTGTATATATTTTTCAAATCAGTACTGTATGAAACACCTAGATCAGTATTATGGTAAACCTTTTCCTCAACAAAAACAAAAATAATTATTTCGCCGAATGTATTTGCTTTTTGTTTTATTTACATATAAAAAAGTAAATAGGCGACATATGAACAATTAATAACAGTAAATCATAACAAATTAATGAACTAAAAATCTATCCACTACAATTGAGTCTACATATATATAAACTTTTGAAAAGCTTGAGCAATTGTTTTCTATTTATTTGTTATTAATTAATGTATGAAATCAATGAGAAATAAGTATGAAACACCCCAAGAGACTAATCTTAAATAACAAAACATAGCAGTCTGATAAAAGATAAGATTCTATAGGTGAGAGTAGAAAATTATTCTCTTAATTCTCAGGCAAATAAGAATTTATAAAGACTTAGTTATAAGAGAATTTCTAACACGTTATACGTAACTCTGGACAGAATAATAAATACAAATTAATGATACGGTGAGAGTTCAATTGTAAAATGTAATATGAGTTAGAGTTTAAACGTTAAACTGGCAAAATATTGAGTTCACTTGATATTGTTTTACTTGAATCTTCCCATCGATGATTAAGACTGAAATTGACCAGTCACTTATTGGCATATGTGCATTCTGTGAGTATTGTCTCGATATTGGCTATCAGGGCTCAGTAGCGAAGTGGATAACGTGATGACGTTAAAGCTAAGATGATTGGATTCTAAGCTAAAGCACTGGATTTGATAGTCTAACGATAGTGATAACTCTTAACCAATGTTTCCTGATGTTGTGTTGATATGAATACAACCTATTTAACGTATTTGGTGGTTTCATGGAGTTCATTGGTTTTATTTACAAACTATAAAACTATATCATCAGAAAACAGCATATATATTCTTGCAACAAGATATTGTTGTATATATACCCGCAATATTAAAGAAAATAAGTTTATTGTCAATGAAATAATGTTTGTTCATGGAATTGTCTCAGGGGGGAAATAAACTGATTAGGAAGACAGTAAAATTCTTCCTATGAAAATTTTCAAAGAAACACCTAATCGAAATGAAATTTTTATTGATCAAAAGTGACCTCTCCATTTCAAGTGTTTACAAAATACAACTTACAACAAATTATATGTCACTCTTTAGTTAATATGATTTACTTATTCCACATTTGATAATGCATAGTCTTTTACTGAAGACAGGTATTTTACTGATATTCACTGATTTATTAGGAATAATCATAGAATAATTATAGAACCGATCATACCGATTCTAAAAGTTATCATTCCAACTTAGTAATTGACGTTTGGTATTATAATCCACATTAAAGGTAGTTAACTGTGACATTCATTATCTTATATCCTAAACAGTAGAGATTAGATTGGAATATTTATGTAGATAACAGTCCGTTCTACTTGTGTATAAAGATTGTAACTCCAGTCAGTATTGAGGTGGTCCGCACACGATGCACATATGCCAATAAGAGACTGATTAATTGCAGTCCTGAATAACAATGGGAAGATACAAGTAAACAACAAGTGAATCTAGTGTATGTCGGTTTTATTATTTTACTCCAAGTTATTGTATGTCATAAAAGATTCATATTATGACATTGAAATTTATTTGGTACATGAGACTGTAATATTTCCTTGACAATGAACCATTAAATCTTGAGTAATAATGTCCAGTCAGTACAAAACAATATAACGTAACATCTTGAGTAATGTAGTTTTTTGTTTTGAAGGTAAATAAGTATAATTACATATATGGAAAATCTTGAAAATCGTTATCACAAAAATTGGTTTATCCTCCACATCTTCTTAATCAAAAGTAGATTAATTTAAATAATGAATTTCTATGTTGCTTTTAATATTTTCTGTGTGATTTAGTCTATTTAGTCTTTGAAAGGAATCAATTTCTATCTTAACTTCTTAAGTAAACTTGAACACAATATTCCGAGAGCTTAGTTACCTTAAATCGGATATTAATATAATAAATACAATTGGTAGAATGTCAGAAGAAACTTCTACATTGACATATTTAAAGATAAAATTCCTACACATTTCAGCCCCGTTCAAATTGATGGTACATTTCACAATTGATTGATCACTGGGTGGTGATCAATGTCATGCTTGTCTAGTCTTTATTAGTGCAGATCGAATGCTATCGATCATGTTGCAATGTGACAACCAGTCTAGGTGACTCGACACGACGGGCACTATGTATTGAGATTTAGATGGTGGTTGGAGGTAGTCGACAGGAAACCCTGGACCCGGGTTTCGTGCTACTTGGCACTCGTCAGCAAGGTGTACCTGTAATCTTGAGGGAACTGGGTGAAACGAGATCGAATCCGCCAGGGAGCACCAGTTCCCTCAAGATTACAGGTACACCTTGCTGACGAGTGCCAAGTAGCACGAAACCCGGGTCCAGGGTTTCCTGTTGACTACCTCCAACCACCATCTAAATCTGATGGTACATTTACTAAAACTTCTTGTTTTATTAAAGTTATTCTTTTATTTTCAGTGAGTTACTCTAAGAGTTTGTTATCATAACACAAACAACTTCGAGTTGTTTAGCGTTACTGTAGTGAACAAGAACACGAGTGGGGGACAATAGAATGCATTTCAACACAAATTACAGAACATCTTAGTAAAATCTTAAAATCATACAGTAAACACCTAATTTGCAAAATGTCAATCAATTGTCTAGAACTTGACTGTTCCTTTTGCAAATATCAATCCATCGTCTCAGATTTCACTGTTTCTTCATTTTCATGCCAATCGCTTTACGTCCCTATTCTTTCCTTCTCGATCTTCTACTGAAATACATTCTATTCCTGACCATCATTATATATTACTTATGTGGATATAAGCAACTCACACCAAACTGCTATATTGTAATATATATAGCGATTAATTCTTAGTTATTTTCCACTAGTTTATTAAATTTGAATTTGATTCATGTACACTTTAAATAACTTCATTATAACTTTTATATTCTTATTATAGGTGAAGTTGACCCAGTATATCATTTGCTAAGATGTGCTGCGAGTAAAAGTCAAACTACAGCTGTAGCTACAACTGGTATAATGAATTCTAGAATTAATGCTAAAACAAAATCCTCTGTACCTGATACAACTATAACAAGTAAGTTGATTGTCATTAACTGACAATTACTCAAATGGTTTAAAGTAATTGTTTCGGAATGTGTTGATAATGTGAAGCCTAGTTTTTAGTCATGCTCTTTCTATGTAGAACTAAACAATTTATTTTGCACATGATTTTTCATATAATCTTTGCTGATCAGGAGAAACTTTATGCATTACAGAAATCTTCAATAAATATTTTTTTTTTTATGCTGGAATATTTCCCATGTTCTGAATGTCAACAAACAAAAGTTATTAAATTCGCGTTGACAGCTGTTATACACTATTCAGACAAACAGAAAAGATAAAACTTCTCGTTTATATTGCTCGGAAATCTAGGTTCCTTGAGTACTTATTTATTCATTTGTCTTAAATATTTATTTTTTGGTGTTCAGTTGAGCTATAGCCTTACCTAATTGTTATTTGTAAGCATGGACAACGAATTTGGGGGAAGGGAAATACCTGTGTTAAAAGTCCTCCTTCTCGGAGGGTTGTTAGTTGAATACTCTCTGTATATATTTATTCATTTCAGACTGAACAAGCTTTTAACTATTTCGAAAAATAACTTATCAACTAGTCATAAATAAGAGTATTTTAGTATCATTTGTAATCGTTTGAATGTAACTAAGTTTGAATCACGAGAAGAACAATAACTCATAGATCTAACTGAGTGCCAAACAGTACGAAACGAACATTCTGGACTCCATCGTTAGTTAGGTTTCATTTATTTCATATAAAAAGGATACTTTGTAAATAGTAAACTAAATATGCCAGGTACGTATAGATTGTATCCGTGCTGAAATGAATCTAAGAATTTACTATTATATTACATATAAAGCCTACTATACAGCATCTACTTCACAAAAATGTTTTAATGTTACCAGTGTTGAGACGACAAAAGACCTTACATAATCCGATTTATCAGCTTGTTGCTCATAGAATTTGTCCTCCTGTGCGTGCTCTATATAAACTATGTGATATAATCACTTTTATTAATTCGTTTGAAAAGATTTATTTCTGTTGAGTAACAGTTTTTAACAAAGGATGAGTATAAGGAGTCATTTAAAATCACTTAAATATGTATTACATGATCAATAATCTAAAACATACAGCAAATGAATAAATTGTTCTTTAGTCAGTAAAAGAGAATAATTGTTTAAATTCACCTGGTATTGTTTGTTTTAATCTTCCTATTGTTATTTATGACTGCAATTGATCAGTCTCATGTTGGCATATATGCATCCTAAGCGGAATGCTTCAATATTGCTTTCGGTCAAAGCTTTATAAGAAAAGATGGATAGTGGCTAGCAGTGGAATCCAAGACGCACGTTTCGTCCTATTTGGGACTCGTCTGCTGGATGTACCTGCATCTCAGAGTTGATGTTCACTCAGGAACTCGAATCCAGTACCGTTCGCTTCAAACGATATTGCATTATCCATTTGGCCTGTGGGAAGATATGAGCAAACGATGTCAAGTGAATTTAAACTTCACCTCATTGCACAAGCAAGTGGCTATCAGGACTTAGTAGCGAAGTGGATAACGCCATGGCGTTTGAAGCGGACGGTACTGCGTTTGAGTTTCTGAATGAACATCAACTCTGAGATGCAGGTATATGCAGCTGATGAGTTCCAAATAGGACGAACCATGTGTCCTGGATTCCACTGCTAGCCACTATCCATCTTTGCTCATAATGAATGTAATTGTTTGTTTTTTATGTCGTCCGTAAGTTATTAAAATTTAATACATACCATTACTACGGATAACAGCGACCAAGAAATCTCAGTGCAAATAAATGGTGCACACTGTTCAAAAAGATGCTAAGTAAATTTATTTTATGGGCAGAGTAGGCAGGTTGCATCTATATAGTCAATATAAATAAAATATAGATGAATGACTGAAGAAAAGTTACTAGTTGTTATTCTACGGTTTACATAATTATTTCTACTTGACCTCGATCACTCCAAAATTTCACTACTAAAATGAAAACAATAAAAACTGTATTAGAAGTCTTTAAACATCTACGCGACCTACCCATCAAGTTCACTGATGACATTTATACTTTAGTTCCCTGAAAAGTTGGAGAATTTGTTAGTGGAAAAACGGGCTTGTGTTTGAAACACTTAGTTTGCAATAAATATGTCGCAGGATCAAACTAAATCCATTTCTGTTTGGTTAGTAAAATATTAGGACTGTGCTGTCATTTCTGTTTTTCATCAATGAAAATTTATCTATTTTGTGAGAGTATATAAGATGTGTGCCTTTGATATAAATGTATCGTTGTCTTTTATCGTTGTTTGCTTTTCAAAATTTGTGCTGGAATTATTGTTGTTTAATTTATTTTCTGTTGTTGTTATTGTTGTCACCGTTTTTCATATGCAACATATTTGTGTCCATTTGTTGTGTCATATCATTTTTCTTACCAATACAGAATCAGAGCTAACAAAGAAGTTCACAAATCGTTTAGATCGCAGTACATCACTGAAAAATAATACAAACCCATTTTATTGATTGGAGATTATCCTGTATGAATTCACCAACACTATGTACTACTCTTTTTATACCTTTAGCCTTTCACTATAACTTATCGTTATCTTTTTCTTCATCATACAGTTATTCACTAACCTATCCACTATAGATATGCATGTACATGAAAACTCTCGCTCTCTATACATATATATATATATATATATATATACTAATGCACGATTACATGATTTCTTCATTTTTCTACTACTTATTTTCTCTTTTTTTTCTACAAATGTTCGTCATCCGAACAAACTTTCAATGATATATATGAACAATTAAAGTCATGCTGTATATTTTCGTTATTATTGTTATTCATGACAACTGAACATAATTCAGTTGTTCTTTGTTTGTATTCTGTGACATATTTGTTGTTTCTTTACTGTTGTTATTGATATATTAGTCATAGTAATCAGATCATACATCGTTACAATCTGAATATTAAAACAAGAAAACAAAACATATTCAATAATTTGTTGTTGTCCGTTATCACATTTTTTCCTCATTTTATATATGTGTAACTTGTAAAACCTATAATTACATTTATTAGTATTAATATAATGTAATAGTAGTATTAGCAGTAGTAGTATAAATACTACAAAGGCAACAGAATATTTATTTTTCATATCAGTGTTATTGTTAGTACAATCATAATTATAATTTATTATTAATTGAGTTCATTATTGAAATTAATAAACAAACAATGTTAAGACATTAATATTTAGACATTAACACCGTTAGATGCCGGCTCAGTGGTCTAATGGTTAAGCGCTCGAGCACAAGACTGATAGGTCCTGGGTTCAAATCTCGCGGGGGTGTACGTTGCTGAGGTCTCCTATATTGGGATGAAACGGCTGTCCAGAGCTTTCAGGTTTTCCATGGTGGTCTAGCTTCAATGGACTCATGAATTCAACTAGTGAAATTTCTAGAATCTCTACAAAACCCCTTCTGATAATATTAAGAAGTATTCATAAATTCCCATAATTCATTGCATTACTTTTATTATAATAAATAGTTCGATAATTATAGATAATAGGCAATAAAGTAAATTCATTTTGAAAAGAAATTCCTTTGAAATATATATATAATCAGAATAATTGTAATTTATGTCATATAATGTTACTTCAGATTAGTTATACTCTCCAAGTCATATTTTATAATGATGGGTTGTAAAAGATGAATGATAAGCATAAATGAAGTATTAGGTGAAAATAGTTGAATACTTTCATAGGGAATTCAATAAATCCAAACCTTAATGTATTCAATAATAACAGTGTACTTTTACAGTTTTTCCTCAGATAAGAATGCGATATCTTAGAGTTGTGATTTAATTTCCAAAAAATAATTGAAATTTAATTAATTTGGACTTTTATTTTATAAGTGGTTACTAATTGCATATTTAAATCTAGCTCTATAGTTTACAATGCCAGTATTTTCATTTGATGCGTAACTCTGACGAAGGACTTGCATCGGAAATATTGTAATTCAGTAAGAATTTTGTTAACTTGTAAAACATTCAAAATGTTTGTAGGTATCATTATCAAGGTTTGACTTGATAATTTGAATAAATTGAGTATTGAGTAGATTATTATAAAGAGATTAATAAGGTTGTCATAATCCAATAAGTAGAAAAATTAGATTTTTTGACGTTTCGTAACTCAATTTAAGCCACATCTGGAAAAATCAGAATTGTATTGTAGTGTTGGTTATTATGTTAAGCCCGTATACCTTATTCTAGCTTTCGGACAGCCTATTCTATTCATTCTACTTGAGTCAATCTTGACTGTTTTTATATGAGCGCGTAGGTGTGTATACACTTCTTATCCCATTACTCATAACATGTCTGTAACTTATTTTTGTGTAACTATAATTACTGATTAATGTGTGGTTAAAAGGGAGTTGGCTTACTCGCCATCTCCACTGCGCGTCGTTCCCCTTCTCTCTATTCCATTCGCTTCATATACAAGATATATGTATTCAAAAGTTCATTCTCGTATTTGACTTATTTAATTTCGTTATTGACTAACGCGATTAAAGTCGATGATTATATACGAGGATAGGCGACATATATTTCAACAACAATCATCATTACAATCTCCTTGGAGTCAGATTTCGGGCCACTAAAGTGGCGAGCCATTTCGACAACATCGTTCGATCGAAATGACGACAAAATTAAGGGCCCCACAGTATATCTAAAAAAACTGGCACAACCTCTTCTATCATGGTCTTAATGTCTCATAATTTTATTTCTTCTTCATACTTTTCTTTCTACACAGCCATTTGCTTCTCCTTCTATCTTCTCTATAGACATATTACGCCCAACCGATTTATTTATGCTTCTATGATCCTCCTGATTACATTTCATCACAATTTCAACATTTTATTTTACCATGCTTAGCCATTATTTCTCAATTATAGTTTACCCATTTATCTTCATGATAAACACTCAAGCCCTTAACAACAAAAGAATTATTAGT